AAAGCTGTGGTCCCTTGATTACAGCTTATTCAGAATTGGGTTGAATAAAGGAACCACGGTAGCAGGAAGGGCCTTTAAAATCATCTTTGCAGAAAGAAGGGTGTCTGTGCACTTGGAGACTCCTCATTCTTGGTAGCCTGCCATGAGCATTTCTTGGTATTGCTATCCAGTCTGAAACTACAATGGTACTGGCACCTTTGATGAGGATCACACTCCACAACTTACAGTGCATCATCCCCTATCATACTTAATTTAATTCCCAGTAGGAGGCCACTGTGCTTCCTGTTGGCTAAAAGCAGCTTTCAGTTATCATCATAAGGAGCCATTGTAAGCGAATTTCCTATTGTTTTCTACCCTTAAGATGAAGAGAGAGGGTAAATGGCATCTAGTCCCTGGCGTAGGAGATGGCCTGTTTGTATTTCAGGTTAGGATTTGGCCAGCCACTAGGTCACTAGGTCCGTGATTGCTGTTATTCTTTAAAGCATTCCATAACTAAATACTTCATTTTTTTTTCTTACACAGGTGAGTGAAATGAGAAAATAGAAAGAACAAATAGAGGAGATCAGGAAACTATTCAAATTAATGTGCTTTTTCTTAAAATCTTTGGAAATTTTCGAGGTAGCTAGCTCCCCAAAAGATAAGGAGGGAAATGGAAGTTGTCAAAACATTTGCCCTATTCCTGGCCTGCTAAGATGAGTTTGATTCCTTTGAAGAGCTCATCAGGTCAACATTCTGCTTAACAGGAAAGGGGAAGACATTGCAGGCCTGTCAAGAGAGATACACTTAAATAAACTTGTCTTTTGCATTCCTTCCCTGTCTAGGGTTTAGCTGTTCCATGCTAGAGCCAGCAGAGGGCACTGTTGCAGCATAGATTCCACTTAGACTTTTTGGGGGGAAACATTTCAAAACTGTAAAAAAAGACTTGGATTCGGTAAGAAATATGCACAATTTTCTATGAAGTTTTAATGTGAAAAATATATAATTATTAAGAATTTGTGGATGTCTATTTGATTAGTGACCCATCAAACCATTGAAGAAAAGGGGAGATGTTTCATGACTGTCTTTGTTATAAAAAATTAAATTGCAAGAGCAAAAGAACAATGTGATAAGTATACAAATAGGACTTTTTTCCTTAGAAACGTTTGTGTTGAGACCTAGTAACAAGAATGGAACTGATTTATTGCAAACCCCTGCTTTTTTATTAATTGTAAACATTAACAGAACTTCATCTCACCAAAGAAAACAGGCTTCTTGGGCCCTCTGTGATTTGCCTCAACATACTTTTCCAATTTTTGTTTTTTACTATCCACTTTGGACACCACCCCCCCTCTCCACTGTGTTTTAGCCTCATGTAACCTAATTCTCACTTCCCACTCACTTGCCCCCTTCTCCACACACTGAAAATCCTACCTATTCTTCAAGGTTCATTTTAAATGATAACCCTTTTGTGAGTGTTGCATGCAGTTCTTACTCTTTCCACTGTAAGCATTTATGTAATAAAGCTAGAGGCCTGGTGCACAAAATTCATGCATAGGTGGGGTCCCTAGGCCTGGCAGGTGATCAGGGCTGATCTGGCCAGGTGGGTTGGGCCCAAAGGTCTAGTGAGGATGTGATGGTCTCAGGGCCTGGAATGGAAGGAACGAATGCCAGACACCACTGTGGCCCTCCCCACCCCGCCACTCCGTAGTTTCCCCCTCCCCCCCTCTCCTTCCATCACTGCCATGCTGCCACTGGGGCCTGCTGGCTGGGGGAGGGACCATGGGAGGTTTGCTGGCCAAAGGGAGTGGCCACGGGATGTTTGTACAGGAGGCAGCCAATCAATGATTCTCTATCATCATTGATGTTTCTATCTATATTTCCCTCTCCAAAATCAGTCAAATATATATATATTTAAAATGCGAGGTTTTCAGAGGAAGAAAGGTAGGGCAATGGAGCTATTGGAGAAAAAAAAAGACACGGGGGCATTTGAGATCTTGCCCACATTTCAAATAGGATAACATAAGGTGGTCCTCAGGGGGTGACAGGTGAGGAGTGGCAGTGAGTGGAGCAGGGCACTGCGGGCTGAGGAATGGGCTGTAATGACTGGGAATGTCTGTGACAGTGACACTGAGCATGTGTTAGGGCCATCGCTGTGATCATTCATCTCCAAGAGGTTTTGATTCTGGACCGGAGGAGAAGCATGGAGATCAGTGGGCCTTTCTTGGCCTAGAAGGTGAGGCAGGTGGCAGGAATGGGCTGCTCTGCTTCCCTACAAATGTAAACATGTACACTGCCAAATCAATGCCCAGCCAGCCCTGGTGGCTCTGTCCTGCCACTCTGGCTGTGCTACTGAACTATTGGCTGGGGAGGCCAAAACCACGCCTCGAGTGCACATAGTAGAGGAAAGGGAAGGGCAGGCAGGTAGCCAGAAGTCAGAAGCTGGAACTGACACAGCATGGCCCGGCAGCTCTGCATCTTCCATGGAGCAGGATGGGGAGCAGCTGTCGGTGTCACTGGCCTTGCAGTCAGAGGAGCTGTGCTTCCTGCACATCACCAGTCAGTTGGCTCACAGGTGGGGCCTGGGAAGGCCTTTCCCTCCTGGAGCCGCTCTTCCCAGGGTAGCAGTGTACGGCCACTCCCCTCCCCCCGCTCCTCCGCCCCCCAATTTATTTACTTTTTATTGGAAAGCAAGTTCGGGGCTTGCGGTACCTGAGATCCTTAGGCCATAGCATGCGCCTCCAGGCCTTGCTGCGCTTCCCTCCCCCTACTCCTGCTTGAGCATCTGTCCACTAGTGGTCAGTGTGCATCATAGCAACCAGTTGCTCCAGTCATTCTCTCATAATGGTTGCTTAGGCTTTTATATAAATAGATGATGATCTATTCTGTTCCAGATACTGTCAAGCCATTCAGAAATGATTAAAGTACAGGGAAACAGATGTAACTACAGTGAAATGTCAAAATGCTATAATCATACTAAGCATTGGAAGGAACCTCTTAAGAGTTCCTGTCACTGCTTCAGAGCTATCTGGAGAAGTGGGGAAAGCTTTCTGGAAGAGGTGGTGTTGAATTAGTATTGAATATTAAAGAAATCTGGATGATTGATATAGCCCCTTAACTCTCTGACATGAAGAGGTAGTAAAAGATAAGAATGGGGAAGCAGGCAGGCACCAACATACAGACCGAGATTGGACTTTATTCAGTAAGCCATGAGAACTCAAGGAAGTCATTTAAAGTGGAGAAAGTACTGGATTAGACCCCTATTTTCGAAAGGTTGCTCTCGAGGCAGTATGGTGGATAGGCTTGAATGGCAGGCAGCTGACTTAGGAAATTATACCATTCCTCAGATAAGGGATAAGAAGGGCCTGTTTTCAACTCTATGGAATGTGGCTTTCTACCTTATACCATGTTATATTTATTTTCCCTAGAAGACTAAATTCATTGAGATCAAAGTTTAAAAAAAAAATCAATTCATTTTTTTATTACCTCAGACTTGTACATGATAAACTTTTTGTCAGCATGAGATGATTGAGGAGAATGAATAAATTTCTGAAAATTTGCATCATGCAGGTTTACTTTAGAAATGCTCTATTATTGCTTTTTTTTTGTCTTAAAAGTCAGTTGAGCCCTAGCTGGTTTGGCTTAGTGGATAGAGCATCAGCCTGTGGACTGAAGGGTCCTAGGTTTGATTCCAGTCAAGGGCCCATGCCTAGGTTTCAGGCTTGATCCCCAGTAGAAGGCATGCAGGAGGCAGCCGACCAATGATTCTTATTATTGATATTTCTATCTCTCACTCCCTCTTCCTTTCTATCTGAAATCAATAAAAAATATATATATATTTTTAAAAGTCAGTTGAATGACATCTTTATCATATTAGTAAAAGCATCATGGGTAGTTTATAAATTTTGAAAAAAATAAGATTTCTCATGGAAGTCTCATCATTGGTTACCATTTATAGGTATTACCATTTAAAGTGTTAAATGATTGTGATGGTCCATACTTTTTGAGCTCACCACTTGAATATGTGTGTGTTTAAGATTTTTGAAGAAGGAAAATAGCTCTGCACAGCTGTATAAAAGCAAACCCCTTAAGACCAAATGTCCTTTCGTGACAAAAGCTGCAATGAACTCAATCCTGTTTGTACATACAAATCCTTGCAAGGTGTAGCAGTAATAAATAACACACCTTGTTCCTGGTTGAAATGCTGACAGAAAACAGGTGAACATATTTTATCTTCTTAGGGAGGTAGAAGCTTTTCAAAGCAAGGTATGAAACATTTGACTACATAAATATGTGAAACATTTTTATGGAAAAAGAAAATAAATAAAATTTAAAAATAAACGACAGGCTTGGCATCATGTTTGCAACAAAGAATTAAAAATAAGAGTTCCCGCCGAAACCAATTTGGCTCAGTGGATAGAGTGTTGGTCTTTGGACTCAAAGGTCCAGGTTCGATTCTGGTCAAGAGCATGTACCTTGGTTGTCGGCACAACCCTGTGGGGGGTGTGCAGGAGGCAGCTGATTGGTGTTTCTCTCTCATCGATGTTTCTAGTTCTCTATCCCTCTCCCTTCCTCTCTGTAAAAAATCAATAAAATATGTATTAAAAAAATAAGAGTTCCCCAATATGCTAATATTTCCCATAAATCAGTAAGAAAAAATTTAAAATGGGCAAAGTATATGAACAGACAATTTAAAGATGAAGATATGGAAATGGTTTACCATATGGAAGGATGATTAAAGAAATGAAAATTAAAACATAAATGAGAGATATCTTGTTATTCACCTTCTGCTTGGCACAAATTACAATGGTTGGTAATATTTCATGTTGGTGAGCGTATGGGAGAAAAGGATTGTCATTCACTGTTAGTGAGCATACAAATTGGTTCAGCCTTTGTAAGGGCAATTGGGCATATTTTATTATTATTATTCCAAATTTCTGTTGCCTCTCTAACTTATAATCTACTTATGCAGACTGCCTCTGTTCCTGCCTTCATTTCCTATTTTTGTGAACACTTTCTTCTAGATGGTGATATTTGTGCTTCGCATCTCAGCCTGGTGGCCTGACCTTGACTCCTGAATTCTGTGATCCCTCCACAACTGCAAGTCATTCTCATACAAAATTTTGAGTTTACCTAGTTGACATCTTTGAGAATTTTGGAACAATATGCAAGTTCAAGTCAACATCATGTTGTCTTGCTGACTAGCTCTTGTGATGAGACCAACATTTTTGTTGCTTGCCCCTACCCTTGTTCTTTCTTGTCTGTTGCTCCTTCTGCAGCTGTCAGTCACACACGTGTAGTCATGCAAAAGCTGTTTTGTCCTTTTTTATTTTTCAGGTGAATGTTGTCATTTGTTTCTCAGATATTCCAAATTAGTGCTATGTACCACTCAGTGATATAAAACAGTCACTAATTGTAAATTTACATATGTTTGGGTAAGAAGAGCCTCCAACCAAAAAAGCAAAAACGTAGGGGATAGGAATAAATGCAAGACGAGTGAAGAGGGCAACAAAGATGATGTCTATTGCAAACAAAATACTTGATAACAATGGAACCAAGACCTCTAGGGTGGGCTCCGCCCCGACCTCGCTGGGTTCCCGAGTTCCTGAGTCGTGTGCATCGGCAGCGGTAGTGACACGTATTGCCCGGAGGATGGAGGACACCGGCTTACCCCGTGTGGTTCCCAGCGACCTGTATCCCCTTGTGCTCGGCTTTCTGCGCGATAACCAACTCTCAGAGGTGGCCAAGAAGTTCGCCAAGGCAACAGGCACTACCCAGCAGGATGCCAATGCCTCTTCCCTCTTGGAGATCTATAGCTTCTGGCTCAGTAGATCCACCAAGGCTCCAAAGCAGAAATTACAAGCAAATGTACCTGGACCAGTGACTGAGAAGGCTAAAAAGAAGACTTCATCCAGTGATAGCAGTGAAGACAGCAGTGAGGAGGAGAAAGCCCAAGGGCCTCCAGCTAAGGAAGTTTCTGTACCTGCCAAGCGTGCCAGTCTCCCTCAGCATCCTGGAAAGGCTTCAGGCAATGCATCAGAGAGCAGCAGCAGTGAAGAATCCAGTGATGAAGAGGAGGAAGAGGAGGACAAAAAGAAAAAGCCTGTCCAGGGAGTTAAGCCCCAAACCAAGGTGGTCAAAACTCCTCCTAAGAAGACCGAGAGCTCTGATTCTGATTCTGACTCAAGCTCAGAAGATGAGGCACCAAAGAGCCAGAAGCCAAAGACAACACCCGTGGCGGCAAAAGCTCAGGCTAAAGCCCCAGCCAAACCAGGCACACCCACTCGAGCAGCACCTAAAGTAGCAAGTGGCAAAGCAGCTAGCAGTAGTAGCAGCAGCAGCAGCAGCAGTAGCAGCAGCGATGACTCAGAGGAGGAGAAGGCAGCAGCCATCTCTAAGAAGACTGTGCCTAAAAAGCAAGTAGTGGCCAAGGCTCCAGTGAAAGCTGCCACCCCTACCCAAAACAGTTCCAGCAGTGAGGACTCCTCGAGTGAGGAGGAGGAAGAGGAGCAGAAAAAGCCCATGAAGAAAATACCAGGTTCATATAGTTCAGTCCCTCCGCCTTCTGCTCCCCCACCCAAAAAGTCCCTGGGAACCCAGGCTCCCAAGAAAGCTGCAGAGAAGAAACAGCCTGAAGAGAGCAGTGATGACAGCAGTGATGAATCTGATTCAAGCTCTGAAGAAGAAAAGAAGCCGCCAGCTAAGCCAGTCATCTCTAAAGCAGCCACTAAACTAGCTCCAGCAAAGAAGGCAGCAGAGAGCTCTTCCGACAGCTCAGACTCTGACAGTTCTGAGGAGGAAGCTCCTGCCAAGCCAGCTAGTGCCACCAAAAATCCCTCAAGTAGGCCAGCTACCACTCCCAAGCAGCCTGCAGCCAAGACAGCCACAGCTCTCAAGCAGCCTGCAGCCAAGACAGCCACAGATCTCAAGCAGCCTGCAGCTAAGACAGCCACAGCTCTCAAGCAGCCTGCAGCTAAGACAGCCACAGCTCTCAAGCAGCCTGCAGGCAGTGGCCAGAAGCCTTTGAGCAAAAAGGCTGATAGCAGCACTAGTGAGGAGGAGAGCAGTTCTAGTGAGGAGGAGGAGGAGGACGACGTGGGGAATGCGAAGAAGACAGTGACCACCCCTAAGGCCAAGGTGATGGCCAAAGCAGTGCTATCTGTGCCTGCCAAACAGGCCTCTCAGGATGGTGGAAATAGCAGCTCTGAGTCAGACAGCTCTAGCAGTGAGGAAGAGGAGGAAGATAAGGCATCTAAACCCCTAGTTAAAAAGAAGCCACAGAAGACAGCAGGAGCTGTAGCCCCTACCAAGCCAACCTCCACAAAGACAATAAAGGCCAAGAGCAGCAGCAGTTCTTCAGATGACTCCAGTGAAGAAGAGGAGGAGGAAGAGGAGAAGCCCAAGGGCAAGGGTACTCCTAAACCACAGGCCCTCAAAACCAATGACACTGTTGCACCGACTACCCAGAATGGGAAAGCAGATAGGAACAGCAACAAGCAGGAGGAAGGAAAGACCAAGGCAGCAGTAGCAGTTTCTAAGCCAGGTTTAGGAAAGAAACGAAAGCAGAATGAGGCTGCCATGGAGGCAGAGACTCCTCCAGTCAAGAAGATAAGTCCCCAGACCCCTAACACATTTCCAAAAAGGAAGAAAGCAGAAAAAAGGGCATCATCCCCGTTCCGAAGGATCAGGGAGGAGGAAATTGAGGTGGATGCTCGAGTGGCAGACAACTCCTTTGATGCCAAGCGAGGTGCAGCCGGAGACTGGGGGGAACGAGCCAATCAGGTCCTGAAGTTCACCAAAGGCAAATCCTTCGGGCATGAGAAGACCAAGAAGAAGTGGGGCAGTTACCTGGGAGGCTCCATTTCTGTTCAGGTTAATTCAATCAAGTTTGACAGCGAGTGACCTGGGGTGATCCTAGCAAAGCAGGGTTAATGATCCAAGATTACTTTCCCCAGTGGACCTAGGAGCTCTCAGCTCTATTAGTGGGGAGGTATTGGTGAGGTCAGCAGCCTGGAATAGGTCCGAAGACATTGTATCTGAACATCCTCTCTGGTCCTTTTCTGTGTTTGTAGTTTTGTACAGATTTGTTTGTGAGTGTTGAGTAGCAAGGACAAGATAAGGGGGATGTTCTTTGTAAATAAAAATTAGTTTTAGCTGTCACAAAAAAAAAGACCTTTAGGGTGGGTTTTATTATGTTAATAAATCTATAATTCATACAATGAAGAAAAATGAGAAAGCTAATAAGGCTAGTGAGTTGAGGGACACACAGGAATAATTATGAAAATGACATAGAACTTGAAATGTCAAAATAGAGGAAATGTGAAGAGATTTGTATTTGTGGATTCTGAAACAGAGAGGGCTAAATAGTTCTCTTTCTGTATATATATAATCTGCCAGCAAGCATCCCCCAAATATGCAAATTTAAATTTCAATCTAGATGAAAAGTTATAACATTCATTACAAGTAATGGGTGGTTGAATAGGTTTAATAAATGCTATGTCTGTATGAAAAAAGTATCTGGCAAAAGAAGGAGATTATGAAGCTGCTACAGAATATCCTGAATACCTGGAGAAACTGATGGAGGAAAATGGCTATTTGCCAGAACAGGTATTCAAAGCTGATGAAATAGTCCTATTCTGGAAGTGCGTACTTATTTGCACATCTGTTGAAGATGAGAAAAAGACCAGCAGTTTCAAGCCTAGAAAAGACAAACTAAAAGATCTGCTTTGTTCCAATGTTTGTGGTGACTATTAAACCCATGTTGCTTCACAGATTTCAAATCCTGTATCCTCTTATACGAGAATGTGATAAACATTTTTCTGTCTACGAGAAGAGGAAACCATAAAATTTGGACTGAGAACCACCCCTTGTACAGTAAACCCTCAATTTTGTGGACCTTGATTTAACAGACTTCAAATTTTACGGACAAATGTCCTGTTCGTATGTTATATGTGAAAATTATCACCCTGTCAATTTTAAAATGCTTTAAACCAAGATTTGCTTATAGTTAAATTAACAGGGATGTTTTGTTATTAATTCACTGTCATTTTTAACAAATTTTAGCAAATAGGCCATATGTTCAAAAATACATTGTAGTAATTTCACCAACATAAATAAATATTACATATCTACAGCTATATTCTACACATTTAAATCTAAGAGTCACTTTGGTGAATAATATTCAGTGACTGATTAGTATGTGATCGCACCGCATCACATACTGTAATGGGTTCTGTTGTCAAGTGGCATGACTTTCTGTAGCAGTTTTTTTTTTAAATGTATCTTTATTGTTGCGAGTATTACAGATGCCCCCATTTGTAGCACTTTTAATGAGTGATGGCTGGTTTTCTGAAGTAAGCTAAGCCTTGCCCCAACTGTGTTCATTTGTTTACTCCTGGTGACTAGTGAATGTACCCATATACTAGATCTATTCAGTATAAATTTAAAATTACAATAATACATATAGAAAAGTTTTCTGTGAAATTAAACTTTTCATACATACTTAGTTTTAATTACACAAATGTATCTACCAGTACTTAAGTAAAAAACAGTTAAACTAATTTGCCATTTTTTAAACAAATGCACTTGGAAAACCTACTTTATTATATAAGACTTTTGGCTTTCAAGGTCACTCCCTCACCCAAATTAGTCTGTTATATCGAGGTCTTACTGTATTTGTTCTTAATGTGTTTTGTTCCTGATGTTAAACAATATTTAAACTAAAATATATATATCTTAAATAAAAAGTGTTGCTTATTCTGGACACTGTTCCCCTTGGCAAAAGTATAATAGTAAATTCTGATCCTTGTGATAAGGTCATCTCCATCTCCCCCATTATCACTACCCTACTTCAATCCATGCATCTGGGAGTAAAAAATGTTCATGATGTGCTATATTCAGTGTGTGTTTGACTACCTTGCAGATCTTAAGAGAGAGACACAAAAACTTACTGTGAAAAAAGCTTGGCAAAATTTCTGCTTTGTAACACTTAAAAAGTAGAAGAAGCAGTGAGAGTAGTAAATGATCGACCCTTAAGGGAGCTTGGCAGAAACTTTGGAATGAGGTTGTAACTGATTCTGCAAGTTTCCTTCCAGTGGTAGAAGAAATCGAAAATATTTTATTGTCTGCAAAACCTTTAGGTGGTAAAGGATTTAAAGACATTGAATTAGGTGATGTTGCTGAACTGTTAGATTCTCACTGTTGGAAGATATTTGAGAAAAATTTCAGAGATGTGGTCACATTGAAAGTTGATAAAAGAGGTAGGTTATTATGCAGAACTGCAAGAATGTTGAAGTAGCTATACTGCAAATGGAAATGTCTCCATGATTCAGAGGAAAATCCTTCGGTGGAATATTTACTGACCTCCAGGTAAGGATTAAATAATTACTCATAACCCTGTAAAATAGAAATAAGAAACTTTCAAACAAAGGTCAATAAGTCTTGTCTCTCTGCTTTGCTCCACAGGGGAAAAGAGATCGGTTCAAGTCATTCAAACCTATTCCACAAACGGCAGGCAGAAAGGCTGTGCGCAGAAATGTGAACTCTGGGATTGAGAATCTGATCAGAGCCGATGATATGGTGATCCAGGTGCCAGAGGATGAAAGTGGAGAAGACAGAGCTTATTTATCTGCAGACAAAATTTGATTTTCTCAATTCTTTCATCTCACTACTGTGATGACCAGCATTTTCATTAATGCATGATTGTCCTCACCTTGAGATCAGAGTGAAATAGGAATTAATTGTCCAATAATCACTATTGCTAATGTAAATTTAGTAAAATGTCATCAAAATTCACTTTACCTGGTGTTTTATTTCAGTGAACAAACCAATTATCTGAGCTTTAATAATACTCCTTTCCTTGATCAATTTTTTCCCCCCAAAGCTCATAAATTCTTTCAGTACAAATTCCCTTGCAATGAGGGTTTTAGGAATCAATTCCAGTACCTAGGGAAGGGGCTACTCTACTTGGTTGGACAACTTGATTTTATACTCTTGAACCTGAAATATATTGTAATTCTCTTTAAGCCTAACTTTCTATCTCAACAAAATTTATCCAAACCATCTCATTTTAAGTAGTTTGATATAAATTAATTTGTTTTTCAGCAATTATATATGTTTGGTCTAGGCGGAGACCTTCTGGACAAAGTCAGGGCTGCGAGGGAAGCCCGGGTCCCGGATGTCAGAGGGAAGCTAGTGCCAGCAGCCGGGAGAAGGAAGGCCTACCCTTGCACGAACTCCGTACATTGGTCCTCTGGTGTATTTATAATGGACTAGAGGTCAAGTGTACAAAATTTGTGCACTGGTAGGGTCCATAGACCTGGCCGGTGATCAGGGCCAATCAGGGCCTTCCTTCCCTGCCTGCCAGATGCTGGCTGGGGCCTTCCTTCGTTCTGCACTGCCCCCTGGTGGTCAGGACATGTCATAGTGAAAGATTCTATTCTTATATCTGGTCTTCCTAGTGATTTGAATAGTTGAATATCCTCAAAAAAAAAAAAAAGTATTGATACTTCTTCCCTAAATGTGTTAGAAATCCAGTAATTCCCCAATCCCTGCAGCATAAAGGTCTGAATTATAGCTTATCTATATCTGAGCTTGAAGTGATCAGAGGAAAGGTAAAAAAAATAATACAGACATTTAAAGGGCTTGCTTGCATAGTTACAGTTGAAATGACACATTCCTTAACAAATTCAAAAGAGGCAGATGAGAGTTGGAACATTTCTTATAGGTTATTCTAGAGCTAGTGACTTGTCATAGTGCCAGAGAAGGTTATTCTCTTGCTCTAAGCCACAATTATTCTTAATACTTAGTGCAATTCAAAAATCTTGATGGGGAGCTTTGGGGTAAAAATACAAATTTTGGGACCTGTTTCTAGGTATGCTGAATCATGAATTGAGCCAGCATCTGTATAGTTTGAAAGTTTCTCAAGTGATATTTTTGCATAGTCAGGATGGCAAACCACTGTTCTACATCTAAACAGAATTATAATAGAAAATATAATGCAAATAGTATGGGCCCAGTAGTTAGGTAACCTCAATTTCAAGTTTCTGCTCTGTCACTAGGCAAATGGACAGTCTTAGTCAAATCACCTTACTCTTATGTGCCAAATGAGAGAATAGGACCACTTGGTCCCTAAGATTCTTCTATCTCTGACATTGTTATCTTTATAGAAAGGTATCAACATCATTGGTTGATTTTTGTGAGTAACTAAGCCCTTTCATATAGACCAAGTAGTAGTGTTACTGTCTTATGTTCTTGTTATTTTAAACATTGTGTTTATGATTTAAGCTTTATCACATTTTAGTCCCTCCCAGAAAAGAGCATTAGACATAGATGCCATGGGAAAGAAAAAGAAAAAAGAAAAAAAAGGGAAACAAACATAGCATAAACTTCCTAGAAGAAAAGATAGAGAGTACCTCCTTTGAGTTTCTTTTTATGATAATTACTGTTTTTCTTCTGAGTTACAGGATTTGGGGAAAATAATGAATAAATATTTTGATTAATACACTTTAGCATTTTGTATTTATTGCTTTCATAAGCCAAAACAGAGAACTCTATATGGTTACTATTTCAAGGTTCCATGGAATTTGGCATAGTCTTAATCATTTTAAAGTTAAGGCTAGTCCCCAAAATTGAAATTTGATATTTCTTTTAGTATCTGTAGAGCTTGAGTGGAAAGAATCTTTCTGCTGTTGAATGACTCGGGTAAAATTTTGTATTCAATATTATGAAGTGCATGGAATTTCCCTCCTTTCCAGACATATTTAACAACTGGCAAAAAGACAAAAAAGGGGGTATGGAGAAAAGGCAGCCCAGGTTACTGAAATTTGTATAAAATGTTAGAAAACTGGCAGTACATTTGAAAAGAGCCTTTTGTTTGTTTAAAATAAAAATACAGAGAAGGCTCTTTAATCTGAACATTAGATTACATGACTGCCATTACCTGAATGCTAATAAAGGGCTTCTACATTGTGTATAGTCTAAAAGAGTGTGAGTCATGTTTGTGTTGTGAAATGCATTGATCACTGAACTTCACATAGTATTATTACCTTTTAATGGCCTTTGAAATCAGTGTATTCTGGTTGTTTATCTGAGAATTTAGAAATATGATGTGCTATGAACAAAGTGTATATGTTCTTGGAAAGAATAGAGGACATAGATGAAAGGATAGTGTATTTCATTAGCATGTACAACAGATATTGATAAATTAAATATGAACCTAGTGGACTTGAGACATTCCATTTCATCTGTCTGGCATTATTACATATAACCTAAGATATAATAACCCATCATGACCAACATTCAGGGTTGATTCTTGACTAATTGGCAGTGGTACGATGAGTGCAATGATGAGAACATGAGACAGAATGAGGGCTTTGGTACTGGCTTCTTGTATGCCCTGCACTGAAGACTTCCTCTTTTGGGGTGAGTGCTGCTTAGTCCTGGTAGAATAACTCTGGGGCATGAGAAGCCAGCACATGGCCTAAGGCTTTGGAATTAGACTTGTTTTCAATCCTGTCCCTGCCAATTACCAGCTTTGTGACTGTGAACATGTTTGTTTTGTTTTGTTTTGTTTTGTTTTTTAATCATTTCAGACTTGGGTTTCTAATCTGTAAAACAGGGTAAAAAAAATACCTGCATTATAGGCTTGCTATGAGATTATATGAGATGCTTAGTACAGTGCCTGACACATAAAAAGCACACACATTTTTTCTGTTATTATTATTATAACAAATAAGCATTATAGAACTAGGATATGATAGTTTATTCATGTCTTTGCAAAATTTTAATATTTTATCAAATTTTCCTCAAAATAAGGTATGCCTAATGGTTTTAAGAATAGAGAAGGAATAAAAATTCATTTTTAATATTTTTATTTGTTTGCTTCTGAGAGATACCTAACATAATAACTCCTTTGTCTCTTTGTTACTCTTTGACCTATAGTGATTCCATATATTATATTTACAATGTGGTTATTGTTGCATGATATTTATTTATTTAGATATTGAAAGTAATGACTTTTTTTTACCATGTAGAATAGTCCTAGTCTCTAGAATATAATCCATCAACTTGATTTCACTTTTAAGATAATTAAATCACTCTTGTGTTGATATGAACTAAAGATCAAACTATATAAGACTTACTTTGCTTAAATCACAAGTTATTGGCTCAACTACCTTTGAGAGAATTGGATGTCTAAGTAATCTTACTAGGTGAGGAAAATTCCTCATAACTGTCTTCTGGACTTCTTTGTATTTCATGTATTCTGTGATGGCATTCAAGAAGTTTAAAATAGTGGTATTCAGATTGAGGAGCATTTATTTCTAATGCTATGTCTGCTAGGCAACAGAACTGTCACTGCCTTTATCCAATCCCCCACTATCACTTAACCTAGTTGATTGTAGTGGCCTCATAATACACATCCCAGTTCTTTAAGTGTTCTTACTTGATTTTTTTTTTCTGTTCTAGCATATATATCTAATAGTCTTTTATATTGATATACTAACTTCCTTTATGCACAATTCTGATTCTGTTACTTCCTTGTTAAAAAATCTTCAGTAGCTGCACATTGTCTGTACAGGGGTGGGAAAAGTAGGTTTATAGTTGTTCATATGGGAAAAAATGCAGGCTAATTAAATAATAATACAATAATAAACTGTCTCATATATTCACAATTGTAAACCTACCTTTCACATCCCCTGTATATTCCACTACTTAACCTTCAAATCATTGCCAAGTTCCAGTGTACCTTACTCAGTTTTGTATGCCAATGTTCTCTTTCATGAAGTACATATGATAATTCCTGCATGCCTCAGACCTATCTGGCTAACTACTAAGGATCTTCTTCCTAGACGTCAACCCTGATCTCTTAAGCTTATTTATCACTTAAGCTCTGAGGGATAAACTGGAGTATCTGAGATATGCCTACCAAGGTGTAGTCTCCTTCTCATTCTCCTCCATCATTGAAAATACTTAGCATTAACTCTTGATTAATTGGTAGGAATATGATGTGTGCCATATGATAAGAACATGGGACTTAGAGAGAGGGGTTTGCCACTGACTTCTTGTCTGCCATGGGCTGGCTATTCTGTCTCTTTGGGAGAGTGGCACTTAGTCCTGGCAAGATGACCTCAGTGTGTAGGGGTGAATTTCTTTAATTTTCTTCTTAAGCTTTCAGCCTACTAAATTAGGTCATCCTCACTGAACCCTTTTGTATTGGGCTCTGAATACTATCCACTTAGTTTTGGTTCTGTATTTAAATCACCTTGTTAGGGCTCCAAGTGCAAATCTAAACTCCATTCCAGCCTCTTCTCCTGAGCATCATCACATACATAGTTTATTTATTTACCATTGGGCTTCAAATTGTTCTATCCATTCTCTTGCATGTGATTGCTAGCCTGGAATATACTTAAGTTTACCATACTCTAGATTTGGCATCTAGATCTGGGTCTGGCCATTGGACCAAATCTAGCCCCCAACCCTGTTTTTTCAAAAATAAAGCCATGCCCACTCATTTATATAGCTGTATGACAATGTCAAAGTTGAGTAATTACAACACAAACCATATGGCCTGCAAAACCTTAAATAATTACTATCTGATCCTTTTTATGGAATGTTTGCTGACCCCTTATCTAAAACCAAATCGTTTCCCTAGTCTTGATTTTGCTTATTCTTTGATAATTTCTCATTTCTATCCTGTCAACCAGTACATACCAAGAAGGCCAGTTAATAGAGACTAAGATAGGTTCCAGCCCATTCACACTATGTGGTTTTAAAATATATATTCTTATTGATTTCAGAGAGTAAGGGAGAGGGAGAGAGAAACATCAATGATGATAGAGAATCATTAATTGGCTGCCTCGTGCACACCACACATTGGGGATCAAGCCTGCAACCCAGGTATATTCCTTGACCAGGAATCAAACCGTGACCTCCTGGTTCATAGGTCAAAACTCAACTACTGAGCCACACTTGCCAGACCAAACTATGTATTTTAACTTGAATTTCCCTGCTTCTTCCTTGTCACCTTTCTAGGATGGCCTTTCCCTGTGGTTCGTAGTGAAAGAAATGACATAATCAAAGTTTATTACAGTAGCCTTATGTTTTTAAAAGTAATATAAGATTCTAATATGAAAGTCTTTCAACATTGACAATATCTTTCAACATGACCTTATAATATATTTAAGATTAGATTTTTAAGTTCTTCAGTGTTTCTAACATCAGGTCTTCTGAACTCCAGAGCTTCCAACATCCCCAATTGCCAGATATTCTAAATATTATAACATCCATATCTTTTCACTCTTTTGCCTGTAACATCTCCAATGCCAGTGTTTTCTAATTTTTTCAATATTAGGATCATTAAAAATCTAGGTCTTCTAAAATCTCCAACAATAAACCTGTAAGTTAATAGGTCTTATCTTTCAGAGTTCTGAATTATAACTTCCACTTTTACTATATTTCCAATTCTCTGTTACCTCCTATATACCAATCTTTTAGAGCTCATATTTCACTGTATCCTAGTGCAGAACTTACATTATTCATTTCCTACAACTTTTAATGTCTCCTAAATTCTGATTTTATAATGTCTTATAAAATTACCAGACTCTCCAATGCCCAAGTTTTTCAACATCTTCAAGAACCTGCTTCATCATTCAGGTGTTCAAATATCCCCAAAATCTAAGTAACTATGTCTTTTAACATCCTGATATATTAAAATCTAGGTCTGTTAATATCCAGGACTTTCAATATCTTTGACTTACAACATCATTAAAATTAGATCTTCTAAATTCTATGTTTTTAATATGAGTACACCAATATTCAGATTTTCCAATATCCAGGGTTTCTGATTTTAGAATTGTAACTGTCTAGATCTTCTATTGCCAGTACCTTCCAATGTTTAGGGATTTGCAATGTCTTTAGTGCTCAGGGCTTCTAATATCCATGAGTTCCAACATTCAGGGCCCCCAATGTCTCCAAAATTCCAGAATAATAAAATATCCTCAAAACCAAAGGCTTCCAATGTCTCCAACACCCTGTGCTTCAAATGTCTCCAATGTCCAGGGTTTCCAATGGCGCCAGTGTCAAGGTCTTCCAACAACTCCAGGTCTTCCAGTAACTCCAGGTCTTCCAGTAACTCCAGGTCTTCCAACAACATCAAGGTCTTCCAGCTAATCCCAGTCTTCCAGAGAATCCACGTCTTCCAGACAATCCACGTCTTCCAGATAAACCACGTCTTCCAGACAATCCACACCTTCCAGTTAATCCAGTCTTCCAGCAATTACAGGTCTTCCACAAAATCCATATCTTCCAGGAAAACCCACGTCTTCCAGAAAAATCAGTGTCTTCCAATGATTTCAAGGTCTTCCACACAATCCACATCTTCCAGAAAAATCTAGGTCTTCTAACCAATATATGACTTCCACCAAATCAAAGTCTTCCAATAAAACTACGTCTTCCAGAAAATTCATGTCTTCCACTTACTCTTGATCTTCCACAAAGATCTACGTCTTCCAGTAACCTCCAGGTCTTCCAGCTAACCTACATCTTCCAAATAGTCAAGATCTTCCGGACAATTCGGGTCGTCCTGAAAATCCATGTCTTCCAGAAAAGCCATGGCTTCCAGGAAATCAATATCTTCCAATCAGTTCCAGGTCTTCCAGGCTATCCACGTCTTCCATCAAATCCATGGCTTCCAAGAAAATCCATGGCTTCCAGCAAACCCTGGTCTTCCAACAAAGCTGCATCTTCCATCAAATTTATAGCTTCCAGCATACCCACGTCTTCCAACAGTGACGTCTTCCAACAAAGTGACGTCTTCCAGAAAATTCATGTCTTCCGGAATTTCATGTCTTCCTACACCTCCAGGTCTTCCGGCATCTCCAGGGCTTCCAGCATTTCCACGTCTGCCAGCATCACCATGTCTGCCAGCATCTCCACGTCTGCCAGCATCTCCACGTCTGCCAGCAACTCCATGTCTTCCAGTATTACCATGTCTTCCGAAAACTACCCAGTTTTCCAACAATGGGCTCAAAATCCACGTCTTCTGTCTCCAGTGTACCGGTCTGCTAACATTCAGGTCTTCCGGTGTCTCCGATATCCAGGTATTCCAACATGTTCCATAGTTCAGGTCTTCCAACCTTTCCCCAGGTCCAGACTTTTTCTAAATTAGTCTTCCCAAGTCTATGTTCAGATCATTCCACAGACAAGTCAATATTCCTAATTCTAGTAGAATTAGCTTCAAAAATAGTGGTTTTTGCTATTAGGAAATGTGTATTTATTCTTTACAGCTTTTGAATATGTTCACAAAATACCTTCTATAGAATAAACACACATATGGGATTGCTGTGATAAATTTTTCTACTTTACTAATGATTATAATTTTTGTATAGTCAACTATGTTTAGGTACAGGTGAATTCTCATTTTAATGAAAAATACTATTGAGAGACTGTTTATTATTTTAACTAAAGTTAACATACAGTGTATTTATCCATTTTTATAACATCAATTTTTGTTTGGCCTTATGTGACTAATAATAATAATAATAATAATAACAACAACAACAACAACAACACTTATGTAACATTTACTATATCCAGGCACTGTTCTAAGATCTTTATATACATCAACTTATTTAATTTTCCCAAGAACCTATTGAGGTAGGTACTGTCCCTGTTTTACAGATGAGGATACTGGCACACAAAGGTGAAGTAACTTGTTCAAACTACACAACTTATAAATTATTGAGCTAGAATTTGAACCCAACTAGCCTACTTTCAAGTCCATGATTTTAACCACCATATTAGAATATCTGATATTCTAATCAAGATGATAATTATAAGATTCAAAGCTTAATTGCTCTAATTTTATATGTAGACTATTATAAAACCTTATATACAAACAGTCTTACTGTATCTTGTCACTATCAGAACCTATGTGTTTGTATTCATAGATATTATTCCTTAACTAGCTGCCATCAATCCCTTGCTCATGTATATGGGACTATGCACAAACACTTCTTCATGCCATTTTCAAGTATTTGGGTAGAAATACTATGAGAGCACTGAGTTCAAGTACCCTTTGATTTAGAATCATATTCATAACTCCATGCTTTGAGTACTGATGTATGAAATGTAACTCTCTCTTCTACCTTAATTCCTTATCTCTGACCATTCTCCAATTTGCTACCTTACTATCTAGACCATTTACCATTAGTTTGTTTCTGACCTCCAGAATCCACCAGCTTCAAATATCACTGACCTCTTGGATTCCTATTACTAACTTGTGACTGACTAATGGTGACTACAACTCCTTAACGCCCAGCATGCTGATCTAGAGAACTAACTACTTGGTTTTCTAAGCCTCAGCTCCTATACCTTCTGATTGGCATTATAAGCATTAAAGCCACATAATGGAATTTTGATTAAGCGAGAAATTTCTAAAGATTTAGAATTATCTACATGATAATACAAATTAATAATAAAAATAAAATACCTTACAAATGTCTAATGATTTAGTGTACAAAGTGTTGTCACTTCATTCATTCATTCACACATTCATCAATTTGTTCAACAAATATTTATTATCAACTGTGTACTATGGCATATTTTGATGAAACATAAAATCATCTGGGGGACAGGCAATGTTCAAATATTTGAACAAAATTTTTTTAAGTTTCCTAAGGTCATGAAGGAAAAGTAATATAGGGTGCTGTGAGAGTCTGGAAAGTTAACGAAAATATTCCTGAGAAAGTAATTTTTATGGTGACCAAAGGATCTATATTCTCATTTGATTATCACAATAACCTTGTGACTTAGATAAGATGTATGTTTTTATGTCAGCTTTTACCTAATCAGAGGTTAAGAAGCAAATACTAAATATGGGCATGGAATCCATGCATTTTGACTTTTCCCCCTATTATTCCATGCTGCCATAATATATAAGTGCAGTTTTGACAATAGATATCAAGAGACATAAAAATGTTTTATACTTTTTGACTTAGTATTTTCATTTCAATGAATCTACTCAAGGGAAATATCTGAAATGTGGATAGCTCATTCACAGAGATATTCCTCACATAGTTATCTGGTATAGTTAAAAACAGAATAACCTACAGGTCTAATTTTAAGAGCATAATTAAGTAAATGTGCTATTTTCATATGATGGATATCATTCCATTAAAAATTTATGGTCTATTTAAATTATATATTACTAGAGGCTCAGTGCACGAATTTGTACACCAGTGGGGTCCCTTGGCTTGGCCTGCTGGATAGTACCGAAACCGGCTCTCCAACACTCTCTGAGGAGTCCTAGATTGGGAGAGGGTGCAGGCCAGGCCAAGGGATCCCACAGGTGCATGATCGGGGCTAGGGAGGGGTGCAGGAGTTTGGTCAGCCAGGGAGGGACTGTGGGAGGGCTTTAGGGTATGTCTGGCTTATCTCCTTCATTCCCAGTCAGCCAGATCCCAGCAGTAAGCTAACCTATTGTTTGGAACATTTGTCCCCTGGTGGTCAGTGCACATCACAGTGAGCAGTTGAGCAGCCTTAGCATATTATGCTTTGATTGGTTGAATGGTCTACCAGGCAACTGGTAGCATATTAGACTTTTATTATATAGGATTAAGTTAAAATCGGCATACAGGATTATATACCGTATGATTGTAATTATTTTAAATTAAAGGTCCAGAGCACAAAATTCTTGCACTTGGGGCAGGGGAGGGGTCCCTCAACCTGGCTGGTGCCCTCTTTCAGTCCGGAAGCCTTTGGGAGAAGTCCAGCTGCTGGTTTAGGCCTGCTCCCTTTAGCACTGCCATGGAAGTAGGAGAGATTCCCACCACTACTGCTGGGCTCACCAGCCATGAGCCCAGCTTCTGACTGAGCAATGTTCCCCCTGTGGGAGCACACTGACCACCAGGGGACAGCTCCTGTGTTGAGCATCTGTCCCCTGGTGGTCAATGCACATCATAGTGATCGGTTGTTCTGCTGTTCAGTTAATTTGCTTATTAGCCTTTTATTATATAGGATATATAATCAGACAAATGACTAGCAAAAAACCCATTATAGATTTGAACTAATTATCACTAGGTGGATAAGATAATGTGTGATTTTCATTTATCTTTTTATGTTCTTTTTTCTTCCAAACTTCTTACAATGTGAAAGTGTTTTATATTTCTGAAAAAAATTTTAAATGATTGTGCATTGTGCATAAAATCACTATTTATTCACCTTTTGTTGCACATATAATCAAGTTTTACTGTTGAAAATACTTTAAAGTATAAGTAAGCACAGTGAAAAACTTAAAGTCTAAAATAAGCTCAATATTCAGAGATAATGCTATAACATTTTTGGTGTATGTTCTTCCATACTATTTCACAGGTATGTTTGCTTTATGTTATAAAATGGTATTCTTTTAACCTGTTTTTTCCACTTAATAAATTGTACATATCTTTTTATGTCAGTAACTGTGCATCTATATTATAATTTTAATATATTGCTTATTTACTTAAGTTATTTTTTTATTATAAAAACTGCTGTGATGAGGATATATGTTGTGCAAGTTGTGCAGAGTACAAACTGCTTCATCCTAGATGGTGGCTCTGTACTTTATTATGTGTGAATTTATTCAGATATTACTTAGAATAAAGTCTTAAAAGCAGAGTTGCTGATCTAAAGGATATGTTCAACATAAAACTTATCAGAGCATAAAAATTATAAGTAACCAAGATGTCCAACAATTGGGGTGGATAAATAAAATGATATTGTAAATATATGATGGAATACTATACAACCATTTAAGTTTATACCACAGAAGAATATTTCCTGAAATGGGAATATGTTCACAAGATTTCATCAGTGAGAGAAAAAAGTCACAGGAATGTAAATATATCTATCTATATCTATATCTATATCTATATCTATATCTATCTATCTATCTATCTATCTATCTATCTATCTATATATATGTTATTAAATTTTTTTAGAAAGCCCTCACCATTTTGGCTCAGTGGTAAGAGCACTGGTTCTGTGAATTGAAGGGTCTTGGTTTCAATTCAGTCAAAGGTGGGTAGCATGTTTGGAGGCGGGAACCCCAGCCCCAGTCAGGGCACATGTGGGAGACAACCAATGTCTCTCACATCAATGTTTCTCTCTCTGTGTCTCTCTCCCTCCCTTCTATTCTCTCTAAAAAATAAATAGAAAAAATATCCTCGGGTGAGGATTAACAAAAAAACAGAACAAACAAAAAAACTGTAGAAAGAAAACTATAAAATGTCCTCAGAAAAATAACCAGAAGAATATACATTAAAATGTTCATAGTAAATGTCCCAAAAGGAAAATGTACAATGGAATATTATACAGCTAAACAGCAATAATATGAATGGATTTTACTTCTGTAATGTTAAATTAAAAGATCAAGTACCAGAAGACTATGTATAACTGGATATCATTTATATCTTATTTAAAAACAAGTAAAACTAATAACTATAGAGTGCCCCAAAAATGTATACACATACTTTGAATAATAATAAAGGCAATGTTTATTAAAATGCATTTAATTTTCAAAATTTAGCTATCAGCTGTTATAGTGTGTATATACTTTTGGGGATGTGCTCTATATTATTTAGGCATACATATATATTTGGGATTAAAATATATTATTTAAAAAGCCAAGGAATATCAATAAAAAGTCATGATAGTAGTCCTTGGAGTTGAGGAAATGGGGCCACAATAGGAGAGAATCATAGAAGTGGATTGAAGTTATTGTCAGTATTCTAGTGCTCAGGTTCAATGGGTGAGTGGGTGAGTGTTCATTATGTAATTAAAAGAATATTATTGACTTTAATAATTATATGATTATAATTAAAATTAAACAAAGGACAAGTTAATGCATAAAAATTAGAAGAGGGCCACGCATGGATCACTGAGATAATGTCTGTGATTTATGATAGTATGCATGAATTATTTATAATACACTTTTATGCACTTGGAATTTTATATTTTCTTAAGCAAGTATTTCTAGGGGTTTGGAATACATGTACTTTTTATTCTCTTGTGGCTTTTTATTCTCTAAAATTTTAAATGGAATATACAATATTATACTAATTGAAAAACAAGCTGAAATTTACATAAAATAAGAACTCATACATGTAAAAAAATACATAACTGAAAAGAAAGTGTTGAAATGCTAATAATTGTCTCTGTGTAGTGAAATTTCATATAGCTTATTTATGTTTCTTTAGAATTTCTTTTTTTTTAATCCAAGTCTTATAGAGTGAGATTGTGTTATTTTTTTTCTGTTACTAAATTCACATATGAATCTCAGAAGGTTAAAAGGGTAGTAGTATGTAGAGAAACAAATAAAAATATTCTTCTTCCAGGCATGATGATTTACTTGCTCTGAATCTTACAAGAACATTTTTTGTTTATATGCATGTGTTCTCAACTACCTAATAAAAGAGTAACATGCCCACCAGCCAATCAGGAGTGAGTAAGTGAGTATGCAAATCAAACCAACAAATATGGCAGGTTAATTTGCATATTCAGGCACCTAGTAGCTGGGGACAGGGCAGAATGCTTGCATCATTGCCATGGCGACAATGCAGGTGTTCCACACCACCCCAGGGCAGCGTGGGAAGGCAGAAAGGCAGCTCTCGGCTGGAGCAAAGGTGGTGCTTCAGCCAGGGGAAGGAAGGCCCATTCTTGCACAAATCTTCAAAATCGGGTCTCTAGTGTGTTTTTTAATATGAATCATGCTATACCTACACTAGGTTCTCTAATACTGTTTCGTTCAATCTTGTTTTGTTAAAATTGATGAGAAAAATCAATTCCTGGACAGGGTACGTTCTCTCCATGTCTGTGTGGATTTTCTTCAGGGACTATGGTGTCTTCCCACATTCTCAAATGTTCATATGACATGAAGTGGTATGTTTATATTGTCCCAGTCTCAGTGAGTGTAGATGTGTGTGAGAGGCCCTGCCATGGAAGGGCATCCTGTCCAGGGTGGATCCCATCTTGTGTCCTGAGGAGCAGCTCCAGTCACCCATGATCTGAACTGGAATAAGAAGGTTGGAAAATCATTTTGTTACTTGTTTTTATTCATTTTTCTTAAATGTATGTATAATGCACATTTATTTCAGTGTTTGATATTAGAAGTGTTTGGATCTTTAGAAGTTTGGAGATGTTTTTATGACTAGAAATATGCCCTAAGAACTTAATTATTGTTTTCTATCAATTAGCTTTTAGTAAAATTGGTTTTATTATATTATACATTGTTTCCCTCAAAGTCACAGTTTCCAAGAACCTATCTATGAAGTTAAGTGAGGACTTAACTACTATTCTACAACTTACTGTCCTTCCCCCTTCCCTTTTATGTTCAATAGAAAGCCATTGTATCAGCCAGCAGAAATCCATAGTAGGTTTATTATGTAATTTATTAAATTCTTTCCAAATGATAGATATTTGGATTAATAGTTTTTACTATTATACACAATGCTATACAAATCATTCTTTTACATATATTTTTTGCATGTTTAGAAGTATTTTTATAGGCTAGAACCTTAGAAATATAACTGCCAGATCAAAGGGTTTGAGCTAAATTGCCTTTGTAGCAGGCTTGGATGCTATCATTCTTTTTTATTTTGTCAGCATTTTGGATGAAAAATCCAATCTCATTCCTTTAAGTTATTCCTCCTACCCCCTATTAAAGTTAAGCACCTTTTAATATATTTATTAGCTATTTCTATTTTGTTGGAGATTGCTTGTTCATCTCCTTTGCCTATTTTTCTTTTGAGTCATTTATCTTTTTTTCTTTCTTGATACTAGAGATAGTATCCTTTTGTCTTTTATATATTATAAATGTCTGCCATTTGGCTTTTTACAAGTTTATTTATAATGCTATTTTCCATCAAGATTTAATTATGTAAATAGGCAAACATTTTAATTTTTTATAGTTTCTTGGTTTTGTCCCATTTTAAGGTAGGTTTCTATATCCCAAAGTTATAAAAATATTATTCAATATTTTTTCTAATATTTTACATATTTTATTCTTAGTGCTTTAATCCATATGGAATTGTCATTGTTGTTTTTGTCTGTGTGTATACCAATGGTCAAAAGTAGGAACCTACTTTAATTTTTTCAGAAAACATGGTTTTCCCAACTTATTTATTGTATTGAATGATATTTACACTAATTTGGAATTCTGTTTTCATCATGAATTATATGAGCAGGCTTGTTTATTTTCTGTTCAATTTTTATCTATTACTGA